GACATTTCGTTCGCGGACGAGAAGTGAGGAGCAGGGAGAGAGGAGAGGAGAGGAGAGAGGAGAGGGGAGCGGTGCGCGGAGATTCCGTGCCCGGAGAAGTGAGGAGCAGGGGGAAGAGCGGATCGGGCAGCGGGGAGAGGAGCAGGAAAGGGGTGCAGAGAAGGTTGCGCGGAGATTCAGTGCGAATGAACTAGCTACAACACGCAGCAGCAAGCGGACTCTTTCTTTGCCTTGAAAATTACGTTTTCAGACATAGGATATCGCTTTCGTGTCCTGAAAAACGTTTGTCTAGCTCTTGGAAATAAAGTACGTTTTCATAATAAGCAGAAGTTTCCTGTCCAGGAGTAATTTGTGGACCAGTGCGTCAGTCTTTAGACCCTGCGTCTGCTTCAGTCGCGCCATCGCTGGAATGAATCTTCAAGAATCACCTTAGTTTGGCTTCGCTGCTTTTCCCCTTGTCTTCTTCTTTCAGCGACCTCAAAAACGGACTTTCTTTTGCGGCGAACTGCTCCTGGATTCTTGTCGCCATTGCAACAAACTTTGTGCGAACTGCGAGGAAGATATAGGTCACAAAAAAGCCGCTAAGAACTGTTGCGTTGGTGGAGTAAACAGCGTCTGTGCGTCTTGCGTCTGTGGACTGTGTGACAGGCGTACGTAAACCACGTACCGGCGGCGCGCAGGCAAGTCAGTTACGCTAGAAACGTAGGGAGTTTGATTGACAGCCTGTCAGCTCACAGATAACGAGGCAGTGTCGTTATCTATTGGCAAATGTTTAGCCCCACCACGTCCAGAGTTGATGAATTTTTATTCTCTTTTTTTTGGTCATCATAATTACAAGGCTACTGCATCTCTATAATCTATCATTGACAATTTGAAACAAAAAAAATCCTCCATACAACCTTTAAGTTACATACAGGTATTTTTATTGCTCAAAAAAACCCTTAAAAACATGTATTGTCATTGTCAGTGTTATCGCCTCCAAAAATCTAAAGCAAGTCAAGTTAAGATGACATGAATTAAGAAAGTTTTATCATGATTTGAGTAAATTTCACCTGACATAAAATGATCTGTCAGTGGAACAAGACTTTTTAAGATATGAAAATACATCTGGCTACACTTAAAGTACGACAAACAACAAGTTTTTGCACTTAAAATAAGAAACAAAATCAGATGTTGCTTGAATTAAGAACAACTAGAAAAGCACTCAGAGAGCGCAGACCTCTGCCAAGGACTACCCCCATTTTTTATATAAATTGCGATAAAATCAGTCTTCTGGATCAGATCCGGATCAGCCTTTGGAATATGAAAGAGGATCCCATTGTCCATCCCTGAGTCAAATTTCATGGGGTTTGGTCAATAATTAACCGAGATATTGAGAAACAAAATTTTTGGCCCCATTTACCACAATGTTAACTAAAATTTCAAAGTGATCCAGAATCCAGGATTTCTTTCCAGATCACCCCCAAAATGAAATCACTTCTTCCTTTTCACATTTCCAACAAATCCTGAAAATTTCATCAAAATCGGTCCATAACTTTTTGAGTTATGTTGCTAACAAACAAACAAACAAACAGACAAACAAACAAACAAACAAACAGACAAACAAACAAACAGACAAACAAACAAACAGACAAACAAACAAACAGACAACAAACAAACAAACAGACAAACAAACAAACAGACAAACAACAAACAGACAAACAAACAGACAAACAAACAGACAGACAAACAGACAAACAAACAAACAGACAAACAGACAGACAAACAAACAGACAAACAAACAAATAGACAAACAAACAGACAAACAAACAGACAAACAAATAGACAAACAGACAAACAAACAGACAGACAAACAAATAGACAACAAACAAACAAATAGACAAACAAACAGACAAACAAACAAACAAATAGACAAACAACAAACAAACAGACAAACAAACAGACAAACAAACAGACAAACAAACAAACAGACAAACAGACAAACAAACAAACAGACAAACAGACAAACAAACAAACAGACAAACAAATAGACAAACAAACAAACAGACAAACAAACAGACAGACAAACAAACAAACAAACAGACAAACAAACAAACAGACAAACGCCGGCAAAAACATAACCTCCTTGGCAGAGGTAATAAACTTATTCCACTTGTAGATAATTTTACTTGTCAAGTTGAATCGACTCAAATAAAGTAAAATGTTTTTAATTTAAGTCATTTTAACTTACCTGGATATTGTTGTTTTTTTTCAGTGTCATGTAGAAAATTCCAGGCAAAGCAAAAACACCTTCGCGGAAATAAGATGTTGCTGGACCCTCTACTAGGAAAGTTACACAGTGCATCTTTAAGCAATAGTCAAACACTAGAACCTCAGATGAACTCCACTGTGAAATGATCTCATTAAAGTAAGTATCAGACGTCTATGAGGCAGAACTGCACGCTGCCTCACTTTAAAACTCATCGTCACTTTATGTTTTGAGAGCTGCAGTCTTTACACTGAATATATCTATGAAAAATCTCCAGAAGTTAAAGCTGCATTGTGTAACTTTTCTGGTTTAGGGTCTGTCACCTGCTTCTTTCTATGAATATGTCATTGCTCTGCCCGGAAAGTTCCACAATATGACATTAAACAGCTCTAATTTACATTTATTCAATTACAGGTGGTTTTAAAGCTCAAAAATACCTAGAAAAACAAGAATTATGACTGTGAGCGGGGTCGCCTCTCCACGGATCTGACCTGTAACTTGGTCTGTTTTGATCTCTGTGAAGATAGAAAGGTTTAAAGCCAAACTGTGGAACATTCCAGACAAAGCAATAACATCACCATGGAGAAAAGCATGTTGTAAACCCTCCAATAGGAAAAGTTACACAATGCACTTTTAATAGTTAATAAAAACTTACAAATAATTAACAGGTATTTTGACTGAGACCGGGACCAAACCGGGACCACAACAGGACTGAGACCAGGACCAAACCAGGACTGAGACCGGGACTGAGACCAGAACTGAGACCAGGACCACAACAGGACCAGACCAGGACCGAGACCGGGACCAAACCGGGACTGAGACCAGGACCAGACCGGGACTGAGACCGGGACTGAGACCGGGACTGAGACCGGGACTGAGACCGGGACTGAGACCGGGACTGAGACCGGGACCAAACCGGGACTGAGACTGGGACCAAACCGGGACTGAGACCGGGAACGAGACCGGGACCGAGACCGGACCGAGACCGAGACCGGGACCGAGACCGGGACCGAGACCAGGACCGAGACCAGAACTGAGACCGGGACTGAGACCAGAACTGAGACCGGGACCACAACAGGACCGAGACCAGGACCAAACCAGGACTGAGACCAGGACCAGACCGGGACTGAGACTGGGACTGAGACCGGGACCAAACCGGGACTGAGACTGGGACCAAACCGGGACCGAGACCGGGACCAAACCGGGACTGAGACCGGGACCAAACCAGGACCGAGACCGGGACTGAGACCGGAACCAAGACCGGGACTAGACCGGGACAGAGACTGCGACTGAGACCAGAACTGAGACCGGGACTGAGACCAGAACTGAGACCGGGACCACAACAGGACCGAGACCAGGACCAAACCGGGACTGAGACCAGGACCAGACCAGGACTGAGACTGGGACTGAGACCGGGACCAAACCGGGACCGAGACCGGGACCAAACCGGGACCGAGACCGGGACCAAACCGGGACCGAGACCGGACCAAGACCGGGACCGAGACTAGGACCGAGACCAGAACTGAGACCAGAACTGAGACCAGAACTGAGACCAGAACGAGACCGGGACCAAATCGGGACTGAGAACGGGACCGAGACCGGGATTGAGACCGGAACCGAGACCGGGACTGAGACCAGACCTGAGACCGGGACCACAACAAGACCAGACCAGGACCGAGACCGGGACCAAACCGGGACTGAGACCAAAACTGAGACGGGGACAACAACAGGACCAGAACGAGAAAGGGACCAAACCAGGACTGAGACTAGGACTGCGACTAGGACCAGACCAGAACTGAAAACGGTTTAGTCCTGGTTTAGTCCCGGTTCAGTCAGTATGCGGTGCAAAAGTTCGACATCGCAGATTAAGTCACAGAAACGGAAATAATGAAAAAATAATGAAAAAAATCATTATTATTTATTTAAACACAAAATCGAAAACTGACACTGCAAAAAAAAAAAAAAATCTATGTTTTTTTTTTTTTTTTTTTTTTTTTTTATTTTGGTTGTGGAGACAAATAATGAATTTTAATGAATTTGGTTAATTTTCTTATTTTTGGTTTTATTTTGAAAAACGAATGAACAAATGACACACGGATTTACTAATTTTTTTGTTTGTTTGTTTTTTTTGGCAGTGTCCTGTGTAATTTTGTGTAAAAATGGTCAAATCTGACCATTTTTGGAACATTCAAAACAGAAACATGAAAAGAGCTTCTTTCTTTTGACATGTTAGATAAAAAAAAATGAATGAAAAAAATAAAAAACACTTGACAGACCCAAAACCACAAAAGTGACACACTGCACCTTTAAACTTCAACTGCCCCGGTCAGTACACTTCTTGTAATGCGCAACAGGTGTCCAAATTTCACCCACAAACTAGACCATAACTTCTTTTCCTTCCTCTTTTTAAGTAACAACTGCGGTTTTGGGAGAACTATTTTGGATCTTGGCATGTGAAAAACCCATGACTACTCTCCAAAAATACATGTTCCTAAAATAATGCGAGTAATAAGAACGATCTGCAACCATGAAAGCGCCCTCGAGTCATTTGTAAAACACTAAACAAACACACTTGAGTTCCCAGAGTAAAATGTCAAGGTGTCGTTTACAAGTTTTAATACATAAAAAATCATTAGACACGTGTGAGATGTGGTTTCTACGTGGAAAAAGCTTTGGGCAAACTGCAAAACACGTGGGATCAAGCTGCACAAACGCGTCTGAAAAATCAACAAAAACGCGTGAAAGTTTTTACCTGCGTGCGCGCTCCGCTCCGCTCTTTCGCTTCTTTTCCCGTGTGTGCGCGAACTGTCAGTGGAAATGGAAAAAAAAGGACTCCGACTTTAGCCACTTCAGCTCCAAGTTTCCACCCCGGGCCGGTTCAGGTTCGGTTTGTTACTCCAGACAAACGCGCGAAGGACGGACACGCTTTTCTTTTCTGCTTTTCCACAAACGAAAGCGGTGGTGCCGGAGCGCGCGCTGGAGTTCGACACGTCCTGTCGCGGGGATTTTTTTTTTGGGTGATGAATCAGGGAGCAGAGACTCGTCCGGTGCAGACAGGAGGAAATAAAGTTGGAGGAGTTAGAAGAGCGTGTGCTGACTCCTGCAGGCGGGTCACTGCCAGAGGTTTTAAAGCGCTCCCCGGTGAAGCTTTTCTGTGCCAATGTCCGGTGGGAATATTAGACTTAAACGTAGAAGATTAAAATAATGATAATAAAAACTTAATGTCTTTTAAAGTTTCGTAACCATGTGTAAAAGTTGGTTAATTCATTCATATTTTCTGATCTATGTTATAATGATGTGGAGTTGTGGTCCACCTTGTGACATCATGTGGTGATACAGGAAGTGCTCCACTGTGTTTTTAAACTCCACACACCTTCACTAGAATTGTTTGGATAAATCTAGTGAAGTTATCCGAATGACTTTACTACCACAAGACTAAACCTGGTCTAAACCAGGACTAAACCTGGACTAAACCAGGACTAAACCTGGACTAAACCAGGACTAAACTAGGTCTAAACCAGGACTAAACTAGGTCTAAACCTGGTCTAAACCAGGACTAAACCAGGGCTAAACTAGGTCTAAACCTGGACTAAACCAGGACTAAATTAGGGCTAAACTAGGTCTAAACCTGGACTAAACCAGGACTAAACCAGGGCTAAACCAGGTCTAAACCTGGTCTAAACCAGGACTAAACCAGGGCTAAACCAGGTCTAAACCTGGTCTAAACCTGGACTAAACAGGGCTAAACCAGGACTAAACCAGGACTAAACCTGGACTAAACCAGGACTAAACCAGGACTAAACTAGGTCTAAACCAGGACTAAACTAGGTCTAAACCAGGACTAAACCAGGACTAAACCTGGACTAAACCAGGACTAAACCAGGACTAAGCCAGGTCTAAACCAGGACTAAACCAGGACTACCACAAGACTAAACCAGGACTAAAACCAGGTATAACCCAAGACTACGCCAAAACTAAACAAGGTTTAAACCAGGTCTAAACCAGGACTACCACAATACTAAACCCAGATTAAATCAGGACTAAACCAGGTCTAAACCAGGTCTAAACCAGGACTCACATTAAAGTCGACCAAACCCTCAGACAGAGCAGAGCCTTCAGTTAGCGTCACACCCACAGGGACTGTAGATGTCATGAGCTGTACAAGCCTCAGCGCTGGTCAGACTGTCTGCACCGTTGTATTTTCCAGTAGAAAGTTCAGATGGCGGCATTATTTCCTCCCTGGGCCCATCGTCGTCCTGCAGCGGAGTCTGACAGGAGCACACTTGGCCCTGTCGCTGCCCGTGCTCCTGTCATAATCACGGCCCCATTAACTGTGAGTTAGTGGGACACATTTAAAAGTCGTTACGATCAAAGCGGCTCTGGTCCCTGATGGACGCCTGAGTGGAGCACAAACAGAACTTATGTGTTTAAAGTACAGAAGGACCGACCATTTTCTTCTTGGTGTTTCAAAGATGAAGAGCCCAAAACCTGCGCTGAAGTCTGATTGTAATAATAAATATTCTTAAAATCCTACAAACTATGTGTCCTAATAATACGCCTCATGCAAGTGATACAGAAGCTAAAACGACAAACAAGTACAGCCTCTACTTTTATTTATTTTTACTACTATTTTACTACTACTTCCTACTAATTTAGACTAATAATCTACTAATAAGAGCTCATGTTACGCGGTTTTCTGACCTATAATATAATGTTGTTTCGTCGTCACAAACATGCATGCAGTTGCGTTTTGTTTAATTTTTAACACACAAAATCTGCATATTTATTACTAGATTTCTACCCTCAAACTGAAAACCCCATGTTCCACCTTGTGATGTCATGTAGTGATACAAGAAGTGCTCGACCGTGTCTTTAAACTCCATACACCTTCACTTCCAGCCCTGAAATTGTCCGTCTCTACTGGACTAAGGTTAAAAAAAACTTGAAAACTACCTCTTCACTATCCTGATTGATCAGCAGGTTTCACTTCGTGGAATCCATCATTTTCTACGTTTATTTGTATTTTGGCACATATATATCAATGTTTTTTATAAATCTATCCCCATTTGATCTGATTAATGTTTATTTAGGTATAATAAAAAAGTCACACAAACTGTACTGCACTGAAACACTGCGCCCCTTTTTTGGACCCTCACCCACAGTTTGAGAACCTCTTCTTTAAGAGAACTTCCTCTGGCACTGGCAGAAAGTGAAGAAAGTGGGTCGGACTTTTATGTTCCTAACTGGACTTACTTTCTCTTACTGGTTTTTGCAGTGGGATTTAACCTCACACATTTACCAAACGCACGTCGTGACAAATACAGATGCACTTTTATTAGACAAACTTCAACCACACGTCGCAGTAAGAAGTTTATTGCCGACAGCAGCGGCTGTAATGAAATATGATCACAACCGACGAGAGTCGGACTGAGTTCAAACACCTTTAAAACCGAGTCCAAGAGCCTTCAAGACCAAGACAAGACCGAGTCCAAGCACCTTCAAGACCGAGACAAGACCGAGTCCAAGCACCTTCAAGACCGAGACAAGACCGAGTCCAAGCACCTTCAAGACCGAGACAAGACCGAGTCCAAGCACCTTCAAGAGATCAAACAAGACCGAGTCCAAGCACCTTCAAGACTGAGACAAGACCGAGTCCAAGCGCCTTCAAGACCGAGACAAGACTGAGTCCAAGCACCTTCAAGACCGAGACAAAACCAAGTCTAAACACCTTCAAGACCGAGACAAGACCGAGTCCAAGCACCTTCAAGACCGAGACAAGACCAAGTCTAAGCACCTTCAAGACCGAGACAAAACCAAGTCCAAGCGCTTTCAAGACTGAGACAAGACCAAGTCTAAGCACCTTCAAGACCGAGACAAGACCGAGTCCAAGTACCTTCAAGACCAAGACAAGACCGAGTCCAAGCACCTTCAAGACCGAGACAAAACCAAGTCCAAGCGCTTTCAAGACTGAGACAAGACCAAGTCTAAGCATCTTCAAGACCGAGTCCAAGTACCTTCAAGACCAAGACAAGACCGAGTCCAAGCACCTTCAAGACCGAGACAAAACCAAGTCCAAGCGCTTTCAAGACTGAGACAAGACCAAGTCTAAGCATCTTCAAGACCGAGTCCAAGTACCTTCAAGACCAAGACAAGACCGAGTCCAAGCACCTTCAAGACCGAGACAAAACCAAGTCCAAGCGCTTTCAAGACTGAGACAAGACCAAGTCTAAGCACCTTCAAGACCGAGACAAGACCAAGTCCAAGCGCTTTCAAGACCGAGACAAGACCGAGTCCAAGAGCTTTCAAAGGCGAGACAAGACCGAGTCCAAGCACCTTCAAGACTGAGACAAGACTGAGTCCCAGCACCTTCAAGACCAAGACAAGACCAAGTCCAAGCCCCTTCAAGACCAAGACAAGACCAAGTCCAAGCCCCTTCAAGACCGAGACAAGATCGAGTCCAAGCACCTTCAAGACTGAGTTCAAACATGGTCGAGTCTGAGGTGAGACCAAGACCGTCCTCCTTCTGTAAGGAAAACTGACGATGAATATGAGCCTGGCTGATTCCAGTACATTTATATCATTGTAATTTTTCATGTCCCACTGAAAACAAACTAAATAAACAAATAAAAACTCCAGGCTCTGGTTTGTGAAATTAAAATCACACTCAGTTCTGCTTGAAGTCTTCAGGTGCATTTTTAAGTGACCGTGTTTATTTTCCCAGTAGCCTCTGCTTTCTCTCGCCGCGGGGAGCTCTACATTATGATCTGACCCTCATTTTCATCTCCGCTGGTCGTAACCCGACTCCACCGCGGCCCGTTTCACACCTCAGCTCCGCGCTAAACGAGAGGGGAGTCCAGCTGTTGCATGCTGGGTAATTTCTGATCACCAGCGTGGGACGTGATTGGAGCAGAGCCAGCGGTGCTAATTACTAAACCTGTCCCGAGTTCAGAAACAGTGATGAACGCTGCAGATGAGAGGAGAGAGTCTGAACGGGTCTGGTCACCTCAGCCGCGTCTTCACTTCACCAGACTTTAACATCAGCCGAGCGGCGTAAATCATCACGGCTGTTTTACTGAAATTCACGATGGTTTGGTGAAAAATGTGATTCTGTAACTCGACTCATTGCCGGAAACTTAAACAGGTTTAAACTAGATCTAAACCAGGTCTAAACCAGGACTAAAACAGATCTTAAACCAGATCTAAACCAGGACTAAAACCAGGTCTAAACTAGATCTAAACCACGTCTAAACCAGGTCTAAAACAGATCTAAAACCAGGTCTAAACCAGGACTAAAGCAGGACTAAACCAGATCTAAATCAGGACTAAAACCAGGTCTAAACTAGATTTAAACTAGATCCAAACCAGGACTAAAACCAGGTCTAAACTAGATCTTAACCAGGTCTAAAACCAGGTCTAAAACCAGGACTAAAAACCAGGTCTAAACTAGATCTAATCTAGATCTAAACCAGGACTAAAATCAGGACTAAAACCAGGTCTAAACTAAAAACCAGGTCTAAAACCAGGTCTAAAACAGGACTAAAACAGACTACTAAAACAGGTCTAAAACAGGACTAAAAACAGGACTAATCCAGGACTAAACCAGGTCTAAACTAGATCTAAACCACATCTAAACCAGGTCTAAAACCAGGACTAAACCAGGTCTAAACAGATCTAAAACTAGATCTAAACCAGGACTAAAACGAGGTCTAAACTAGATCTAAACAAGGTCTAAACCAGGACTAAAACAGGACTAAACCAGATCTAAAACAGGACTAAAAAGGTCTAAACCAGGACTAAAACCAGGTCTAAACTAGATCTAAACAAGGTCTAAAAAGGTCTAAACAAGGACTAAATCAGGACTAAAACCAGGTCTAAACTAGATTTAAACTAGATCTAAACCAGGACTAAAACCAGGTCTAAACTAGATCTAAACAAGGTCTAAAACCAGGTCTAAACAAACTAAAACCAGGACTAAAAACAGGACTAAACCAGG